CCGTTGGACACGGGAAAGGCACGGGAAGCAAGAGGAGAACGAAGCGAACACGATGGAGGGGATTAGGGCGGCAGAGACGGCCCGGGGTGATGCGGTGCTAGATGGGGCGGCTCGAGCTCACCGGATATAAACAGTGACACGAATACACGCACAAAAGGCAAGGGAGAGAGCATGAGAGACACCTGCAGGCTACTCACCTTCTCGCGGAGCTCAGAGATGCGGTCGCGGCGGCAGAGGGACGATGGAGCGGCGAATCAACTTCGGCAGAAATCTTGACGGAGGCGCTAGGGCACAGGCGGCGTGGCGGCTTGCTCTAGAGCTCGGTGAAGGTAGAGCGAAGTCGGGCTCGGTATTTATGAGCCAAGCGGCGTAGGGAGCACGCCACCACGAGGGCTCGTAGCGGAGGCGCGGGCCGCGATGTCAGCAAGAGAGAAGGGGAAAGAAGAGGCGCGGCGAGGCATGCGGGCCGGCTTGCTTGCTGGGCTGCGCGAGAAAGCAAGGGGAGCGGGATGGCCCAAGTGCGGGAGAGGGGCGCGGGGCCTGCGAAGGGACGGAGCTGCACGGGCCAAACTTGGCCGACGCCTGGACCAACGGGCCGAAAGCAAGGAAGAAAGGAAAAATCCTTTCTCTTTTTCAGCTTGTCTTATAATCCGTATTTTTCAGCTTGTTTTTTCAGCTGTAACAGTATTTTTCTCTCACAACAAATCAGCCGGAACAGTGTTTCGTCTTGTTTTTTCAGCGAAGCGAACGGGGCCTATATTGTCTTAACAAAAAAAACTATCACTACCCAACGGGCAGATCCATCGGATTTGCTGCTCGGAAAAGCAATTCTAAAACTTCTGGGCAGCAGGTCACAGGTGACGTACTATTTGGGCGTGCTTCAGCTAGTTCACCAGCCATTTGCTCGATCTTCATGATGATCCTCGCATTTTAGGCAGCTAGTTCAGACTAATAGTATAGTCCAACTCTGCGGAGCTTTTCTCGAGGGCGTGCTTTCAGCTAGTTCTGCTTCAGCGGCGGCGAACACTAGGAGAATAACCCGTGCTTTTAATTAATTCGCAAATAGAAATAGATGCCTGTCCCCCGGCCCGACGGAGTATATAATCGATCTCGCGTACTGTAATTTTTAGGCATGCTAGTATGATTTACCGGAACATTCTTGTAATTAGTCTGATTGATCCATTTGTCTTGCTTCAAATTATTAATTTCTTGGTGACGTTTTGGAGCAGCTAAATTTCTCCTCGGTCGTTTTCAGTTTAAAATGTTCAAAAACGCGGTCAAACCATCCAGAAACTTTGAAGCCGTGTATCTCTCTAAACACTCCGAATCCGAAGAGGACCCAGTTATAAAAGTTGTTGCTGGTAGTTTTCTCTACAATTTTGTTAATTTGAGCGCTCCTAAATTCTGCACGGTTTTTTAATTACGAATGCTCAAAGTAGGCCCATTTTCAAAATCCCGGAAACCATCCAGAACCGGCCAGTTCAGTCGGCCCGACCAATCAGTGTCAGGCACGCCGTGGCCACGCTAACTAGCACGCGCCAGCGTGGCCACCGTACCAAGCCGGCCGAATTCGCCTCCCCTCCTTATCCCCGACCGAGCGCCATCTCCTCCCTTCCTCCCGTCCTCCACCCCGAACGAGCCGAGCTCGAGAAGGAGCTCCCCGCCGGTGGCATTGCAAGCCAACGCCCCCGCCATTGCTCAATTCCGCCGAGCCGTGACTCCACCACCACAGCCTCCCCTTCCTCGGTCCACTTGAACTCCAAACCGACCCCCCTCTTGCTGGAATTTCGTGTGACCGCCGGCCCCCATCGCCGTCGCCGACCACCTCACCTTTGTCAGACGTCTCCAAACTAGCTCTGCCCAATCTGAACCCGTGCCGAGCATCCTCTGCTTCCCCTGAAGCTCATGCCCATCTCGCCTTCCCCCATCCGGCCGCCACCTCGCCGGAACGCGCAGGCGCTATGCGATCAGTGCCCTAGCCGTTCCCCTGGGCGCCACTGTCGTGCCGCCACCGGTCGAGCCCCGGCAGGGTACTCCGGCCTTAGTCGGCCTCGCCGCCGACCGGCATCAGCCGAGCCAAGCGAGCTCGTCCACAACCCGAGCTTGAAGGAGGCCTCGAGGACCACATTGCAAAAAGGAAAATTAAGTTAGGTGGTTTTTGTGTAAAAATGATGGACTTATCTTGAAACTTAAAAAGTTTCTAGGCGGTTATTAGTAAAATTGTTTTCTAGTTTTCTTTATTTAAATGCTTATTTAGGCTGAAACTTTGAAAAATCATATCAAATCATAGAAAAATTGTAAAATGGCAAAGTCAGTTGCATTAGCTTCCTTATGATCAGTTCTTTGCAATGGTGCGATATGCATGACTTAAATCTGTGTGTTGATTTAATTTGGATTAATGCAATGGAAAATGGCTAGTAAATTTAGAAAATGCATAATAAATTCTCGGTATGTGCAAAAACTGTCAAACCACTTTTGTTGTGTTCCTTGTGAGTAGATGAACACACTGTTACTGCTTGAACTCTTGTATCAGCTGTAAATCTTTTATTATGCTTTATTCTAGGTAAATGTTGTTCAAACGTAAAAAAATCATGGTAATTCAAATACTGTTGACAAAAATGTGAAACCACTTCTGTTGGTTCTGTCTTGCCTAGGACTAGCTGTTCACTAAGCTTGTTTGCATGAAAATGGTGGTGCGGCGCGGCAGTCTTCTTCCTCTCCGGCCAAGCGGTGTTCGTGTGGTGGTGGTGCGGCGCGGCAGTCTTCTTCCTCTCCGGTCTTCGTCTCCGTTCAGGCGGTCAGGATCCGCTTGGCAACGGCGCTTCTGCGCCTCTTGCCGGGCTCCGTGGACGCGGTCGTCTTCCTCCTTCGTCTTCTTCCTCCTACGGTGGTGTGGCTGGTCTTGGTTGGGGTCGATCTGCTTCGTCCCTACCAGATCTACTTCATCTTCCACTATGGCTCTTCTTCTTCTCTGTCTTGCACTTCTTCCTGTCACCGTCGACTCCCACAAGGTGAAATCCCCCCAAATCCCCTTTGCTTTCATTATAGGGTTTGCTCTTGCCCTATTTGGATTTCGATTTGTCTCTATAGAATGATAGTTTGGGTACATGATGCTTGTGTAGTTGCTATGAATGTTGATTTCGAGCACTGAAACATTTATGCTTCATTGTTGGTACTTTTCATTTGGTCGATGCTAAATCTATCCACCGTATGCTGAAATGTTAGTTCTTTGATGGCCGATGATGATTCTATCCACTGCACTGGAGGCATTCTTTTTATGCAGCCATGCTATTATATTTTGGTTTGAATGATTGCACTTTTATGTTGAGGCCAGCCAGGGTCTACTACAACTGAGTTGTATGTTTGAATGTTGAATGCATGTAGATGGATCCAAGTGCACAACGTGAGATGATGGCTAGGCAAGCACCTGCCATGGTTGTGGTTATGCCTTCTTTTTTGGTCACTAGACTGAGAAGAATTAGGGCCTAACTTGAGCCTATCCTTTATGGTCCTAGGTAATTAGGCCAGCAGCATAGGCTATCAACCCTCCAAATGATATTTAACAGCACTGATGCTAAGTGTTTGGCTATGTTGCGTATGACCAGAGCTCCTTTTTTTTAATCTGTGCAAGCTTTTTAGAGGTAGAGGCCTTGTTGGAGAAACCAGTGGGTGTTCTGTTGAGGAGCAGATTGTAATGTTCCTCCATGTGGTTGGTCTCAACTAGAGGTTCAGGGTAGTTCACCAGTCTTTTTGGAGGTCCATTGAGAAAATTAGTAGAGTCTTCCACCAAGTTCTCTATACTGTTGGTGAGCTTAGTAATGAAATGATCAAGCCTCCTTCCACTGCCACACATCCAAAAATCATGGGTAGCCAGAGATGGTACCCCTATATGCAGGTACTTGTTAATCATGTTTATATGCCTTAGGTTTAACCATTTGTTGTGTTTGCACTTATCCACTATCCTACACATTTCTAGGACTATTTTGGTGCCATTGATGGCACACATGTGTTGGCAAGCGTGCCTAGACACATGCAGCAGTCTTTCTTGTGTAGGAAACACAGCCCCACACAAAATGTGATGGTTGCTGTGGACTTTGATCTCAGGTTCACTTATGTCCTAGCTAGCTGGAGGGCTCTGCCCATGATGCACTCATTCTTGCTGATGCAATTGACAGGAATAATGGGTTCACAGTTCCTGAAGGTAACTAAAATTAATAGTCCATACACTGTTGTCCTTTAACTTGCCACACACCTTCACTGTAGTATATCTTTTTTACCACTTGTAGGGAAGTTTTACCTGGTAGATGCTGGCTATGCTTGCCGCACTAGTTTCCTCCCTTCCTATAGGGGGGTGAGGTACCACTTGTCTGAATTTGGGAGCCGCAATTATCCTACCAATGCTAGGGAGTTGTTCAACCTAAGGCATTCATCCCTTAGGGTGACAATGGAGAGAGCTTTTGGTGCACTCAAGAATAAATTTCATGTCCTAGACAACAAACCTTTCCACACATACAAGACTCAAGTGAATCTTGTACTGGCCTGTTGCATTCTCCATAATTGGATCATTGGGTTTGGCATGGATGAAGCAGTACCAGAAGAGGAGGGCTTCCTAGGCAGCTAGCCTAAGGCTGATGACACCCAGCCTGTGGGAGACATGCTGTCCCAGGACTCCACTAGCATGTCTAATAGGAGGGATGGCATTTACAATGCCATGTGGGCTGGTAGGGGTACTGCTAGGGTTTGATTAATGCTTTCCATTCGTGTATGATTCTAGTTTGTAGACCCTGGATATGGAACTCATGTGGTGTATTAATCATTTGTAATATATGCTAGACATAACTGAGACCAATCTGCTATTGTTTTTATGATGATTCTATTTTCATGGACAAGACTAAGACCAATCTGGTGTAAATGTTTTATCTGTTGTTCATCTTCTATGTCTTGTTCATCTTCTACCCGTTCTTCATATACTATCTGTTGTTGATACTTGCCTTCATGTCATGGATGCTGACCTTATTAGGATGGCTGAGTTTGTGGGGGCTACTGACATGGCTGCTGTGGCTGGTGCTGGGCCAGCTGGGGCTGTTACTGCACCAGTGGTGGTGGATGTGGGGGCTGATGCACCTGAGGTAGTGCCTGCCCAATGGGGTGCTAGTGGTGCTAGGCCCCCCATGAGGTGGAATAACAACACTTCTGGGTTTGTCCTTAGGAGGATGGCCTAGATAGTGTCTGATGGGAGTAGGGCTGACAAGTGCTTCAAGGATAAAGATGTGAACCATGTGGCTAAGGCTCTACAGGAGTACTGTGGTGAAGCTGTGAGCCCTACTCAAGTGTACAATCACTTGAGAAAGTGGAGGCAGAAGTGGGCTAGGGTTGTCAAGTTGAAGGATCTTGCCGGTGCACTGTTTGATCATGATGTGAATGCCATAATGCTTGAACCTGAGCACTACATAGGCCACTACAAGGTAGAAAAAGAGTCAATTGCCTTTCTCTCCTCTCTTCCTCTTCTGGCCACTTATTCTCTTCTTCCCTGTTTATTTAATTAAGCACACATGACTGTAGGACCATCCTAAGGATGCTCAATTCCTAAACACCCCAATCAGGTTCTACACTGAGATGGTGAGCATATTTGGTTCTTCCATGGCCAATGGTAGGTTTGCCCTAGGTTCTAGTGAGCCACTTGGGGTGATCAATGTTGACAATGTTGCTGCTAAGATAGAGGGCCATGGCTTCACCACTGCTGCTGATGTCAAAGCCAGCCCTGAGATGGGTGAGGGCAGCAAGGCAACTGAGCTACTAACTTCCACTGTTGGAGTAAAGAGAAAGAGGGGTAATTTCAGTGAGTAAGAGATGCTTACGATGACTAACATGACTGATGCTGTCAACAATGTAGCCTCTACACTTAGAGAGACTAGGCCTGCACATGTGGATCCTGACCTCTATCTTGCACTCATGGAGATGGCTGGTTTCACCACTGAAGCTCTCATTGTTGCCTACACCTACCTGCTGGAGAACAAGGCCCTTGGTAGGGACTTTGTGAACATGGCAATCAGCCATAGGGATATTTGGCTGAGGAACTACCTTGCCAAGAACTACTATATGTAGTTCTATTCATCTAGGACAACAAGGACAAGAAGGGGTTGATTGTAGAGATGTATAGTTCCGCCACCTCCCTCACCCACTCTCCCACCTTTTGTACACACCTTGGTGTTGCTTTTGTGCAGCTTAGTTGGCTGATTCACACCTGTCCTTTTGGGTTAGTGTAGTTGGAGGGTGGCTAACTATAGGTAACATTGGGCAAGATGGACCTTATTTGAGCCCACAACTATGAGGCTATACTGCTATATGTAGTGCACTATTAGTGGCCTCTGTTGGGTGCTCAATTTCCTACATGTTGGTTCTGTTCTTTTGGTTCTGTTTACTACATGTTGCTTCTCTTCTTTTGGATCTATTTACTACATCATCTATCACTGTTACCTGGTCTTTATCCATGAAACCCAGCCATACAGTGGTAGCAGCATAGATGAAGTATGATGCTACTGCTGGATGGTGTGTCTCATGGCCAAAGCTTATGTCTATTAATGATTTGTGATGCTAATATCCTACTGCATGGCACTGTTGGCTCTATTTATGAACTATTGGTTTTGTTTCTTTTGATTGGTGGTAACTATGGGAAATCTATAAGGCCTATGATGCAAACAATGTATACATGAGGTGGCTGCCTTATTTACCTGGTTCTTGATGTTTTCATGACTGTCATCAAACCCTATGTGTGAACACATATTCCCTTAGCAACAACCCCTTCTTTCTTGTGCCGATGGCAGTGAATGGATGTGCACACTAGGGTTCCATGGCAGCCATGACCTTGGATTTGCACTTGTTTGGTTCTTCTATTGCCTGCAGTTTGTAACTTACTGTTCTACTGGTTTTTTATTTGTATGGCAGCCACCAATGATTTCAACTTGATGAACACCACCAGATTCTAAAGCTGAGGCCAATCATTTCTTACAATGCTTGTGATGTCATTACTGTTGATTTGAACTATATGATGCTGGTCATTAGTGAGAGACTTAAGATCAATGATTTGTTTCACTGCAAACCATAGGTCTTTAAGTTCCACACTCATGGCTAGTTTCATGCTTTATATTTGACTGAGGCTAAACCACTATTTCATTTCACAAAAATGCCAACTTGCTATGTGGTTTTCTATGGGAAGACTCTAGGGATTTACCTGACTTGGCATGACTACATTAAGCTAGTTCTTGGGGTTAGAAATGCTATATACAAGAAGTATAGCAACTATGAGCAGGCTGTTAGAGATTATCAGGCAGCAATGAGAGATGTCAATCCATCTCATGGAGCAGCAGCTCCCCTCCCCTATGATCTAGTTCCTAATGTTGCACCTCCTCAAACCATTGCTCCTTCTGATGGTGATGGTAAGCCTGATTGCTCCAAGAATGTGTTGATCATCTCACTTGCTATCTTGCTATTTGGAGTGTGGATGAAGGTGGGCAATACTTGGCACTACTGCTGCCCCACTTAGGCCTATGATGACTAGAACTAGAGGATGGATGAGCTGCTGCAATGTCTTACTAATTTGTGTACTCCATTTCTGTTGCCTATCTCCTATCTGTTGTTCAAGTACTGCTGCTTACTGATTAGGCTGTTGATGTTCATATTTTGCCTTGCTTCATTGGTAGTTTGTAAACTTTGAGCAGCTATGACTCCATGGGTAATTACCTAACTAGTCTGAGGCTAATCTATTGTCACTTAATTGTATTTGGGCACCTTATGATAGTCTATTTCAATTATGCACTTGTTCATGAAGCATTGTTCCTTATGTTGTTGTCTTCCTTGTGATCTATTCTTCCTGTTGGTTGTTGCCCAGCCAGGCCTAAATCAAATAGGATCTCCAACTGGTAGTTGGAGGTAGTTGGTGTTGCGCCTGGCTGTGTCATTGAAATTAAACACTGGGTCGCCTAGGACAGGCTGTGCAGCTGTAGGAAATCAAACACACCCTTGTGTGTGCTCTAGACCAAGCCGTGGCTGGCCAGGGCCTGGTTGACAGGCTCGGCCACCCCTGCGCCCTATATCAAACAAGCCCTTAGAGAACGGGGCATGGGTGGACGTGATGCTTGGACTCGATGCTAAGGAGCACAATGACGCGATGCGACACCTCCTCTACCATAGTGTCCTTGTCGACATCAAAATAGACCATTCGATCGGTGTGTACAAGGAGGCAGGGTAGTGGGATTTGGGGCGCGATGGATGGAGCATTGGAGAGATGGCTGGAGGACTAGTGCACTTAGGGTACGGATGGCGAGGTCGTCGCTTCAGAGCGGGGATGGTGCAGTCCACGACCGTCCAATTCCCGTGTCGATGGGACCATCGTGGAACTAAAGAAACGGCATCGGCGATGGCACTTCTTCCTCCTTCATTCGATGGTAGCCCTAGTTCCCAAACTTGTGTGATGTCCATGTGCGACGCATGGATGAGACGACCGGTGTGGCAGAACCACCCGAAGTGGCACGCTTCCAGAGGCGCTCGTCTTCCACCAAACACTAAGCACCCCAAAAGCTGTCCACATCGGACGGTTCCGTCGAGCACACCACAAGGGAGAACTCGAATAATCCACATTTTTCCTCTAGGATCTAATAATGAGAACGAGAGTACAATACTTAGTTCATTTTATATAACTAGAGTTCTTAGAAATACATTATTATAGTACCAAGCTCAGAGTATAGAATTTAAATAGCGGAACTACAATAAACATCTAACGGTAGAATACAATGATCCGTCTATGTCCACTAGAAGAATCATCCACACAACAGCTACTCTTCAAGCTGCACCTGCAACAGGGGTAAATAAACCCTGAGTACACAATGTACTCGCAAGACTTACCCAACTAGTGGGAATAACTTCCCGACTCCAAAGGATATAATACGCTCTATGGTTTGCTGGGTTTCCTTTTTATGGAAAGCAATACTAGTAGTGAATCCTTATGTATGTTTCTTATTAGCAGTTATGATTAGTTCATTACCTAACCATTTTATGTAAGCACCTATTCTACTTTCGAGCAAGAGTTGAGCAAACAGATCCATTTCACCATCTTTCATCTTTCAGTTCTTACTATGGTGCTAGACTGTAGACAAGTCGTACCGGATTACCCAACGATTCGCGAAACAATGTGCCTAGCTAGGTACCCCGAAACACACACCCCGCTTGTACCCTAGGCACAAGCAGGACCAACCCATCACTCTCCTGTCAAGGGGTCTAGGTCCCCATCTAAACTTGGACTCCAATCCTCCACACCTGAGTCCCAGACTTAGTGTGGTGCTTAGACCTCTACCATCCCCACCTACAATCAGTCGGTCTAGAAAGAGCCGAAACCCACGATAAGAGAGCAATGGGCCTTCCCTGCTCCCATAAACAAATATGTGCTCAGGATAATAAGTCTGTGACTTGACTAGAACCCAATGCAACGGCCGATCCTTAACCGACATGGACAGGGAAAACAGTGTAACCAAGCTATGCCCCGTTGGCCGCGGGACATAACCTCTTACACCCACCAATATCCATACCATATCCCTGCCCGGTCTCTATTTTTCTTTTACCATTTTATCATAAGGGTGATAATAATAATCACCTATTGTGGGTAACGGCAGATTACTCACGCTACCGAAAATCCTAAGCATAGCAGCTACTCGCATCTGTACTAGTAGGACTTAGAGGACAGATATATTTATACAGGTGGTTTCCATAAAATGCCTGTAACGTAAATGCACTTCATAGATATATATATTCAGTGCTTATTCAAAATAAGGGTTATGCACCGGGGCTTGCCTTGGGCAGGCGCAGTGTCAGCTCAGTCAGTTCGTGGTGGCTCTAGGACCTCCTTCTGCATGAGGATCTCCTCCTCATACTCTTCAATCACCTCCTCGTACTCCTGCTCGCCCTCGGTCATAAACTCCACCAACTCATTCTCTACATGCATGCAATGACGATGCAACACACAATATTAAGGCAACAGTAATTCCTAAAACAAGAATACATCTACTAAGCCACTAAGCTAGCTCTAATGACTAAGATACCGAGATAATCATCATTCCCATCAAACCAGCAGGGTTTCACCTACAAGTGCTACTTAGCAACTAAAATATATTCTTACTCTTATTAATGATTTCCTATATACTACAACAAGAAGTACTTAGCTACCATATTTCTCAACCTATTCTAAGGCTACAAAAATTACAGTGAGCACATAATAATACAATGAATCTACTGTAAAAATTTTATGGTCAAAGCTATTACCAATTTGCCACAAAAATTCCTACAAATACTAATCTAAATAATACTAAACACTCGCAATTAATTTAATAGCCGCTGGTATCAACAAATATATATATATATATATGAACTAAATACACTAACAGATAGAGCACAATTTTAGGAACCTAATAAAATTAGTTTCACAATTTTTGAAAACCTACATGATTTTATATGATTTACCAAATTTTAGCTCAGAATTACAAATGAAAAGCTATTTCTATTTTCCACGAAAAATCTAAACTGCTTTCAGCCCACATGGCCCACTAGGCGCAACGTGCGCGCGCGAGCACGCGGTGGCCCACAGGCGAGGCATGGCCCATGCGCGGAGGCGGCCGGCGGTGAGGAGGCCTGCGCGCGCTGGCACATATGCAAAAACGCTCCTAGACTATGAGCAAAACAACCCACAGTCCATGTTACTATTCCTAGAGACAACACTTATACAAAAGAACCCTCGAACCATTCTCCTCTTTACAACGGTGAGGCCCTCGGCCATCAAAGCGCGCTTCGACGTGACGAGCAGTGGCACAGGTGCCTACACCGGCCACATGGGACCCCCCGCTGACCTAGTTACGAGGCCGACGCTCACCTACGGTTCGACATGAGACGATGGGCGGCGGTTGCGCGAGCCAGGACGCCGTAGAAAGACCTCTCCACGACAGCGGACGCCCTGCGGCAATGGCGACGACGTTCAGATGAGCCGCAGAAACAATCAAGGTAGTAGGGTAGTGGGTGAGCAACAACAACGCACCAGTGACCTTACCAAGAAGCCGGCCCAGCCGGAGATGACCCGAGCGAGGCTGGCCGCATACACGTGGTGAGGTGAACGATGGACCGCAAAGGCACGGCCATGTTAGCGGCGAGGAGGCAGCACAAAAGCTGCAACTAGCATGCGCACGACGAAGAGGAAGCCAAGGCGAGCAAACGGTGCAAAGGAATTGGCGCAGGGTAAAGTGGTGGAGATTGGCCACGACGCGGGCGGCGACGGGCCTTAACGGCACGGTGGCGGCAAGATTCCAAAATTGGAGCTCGGCGGGATGTGAGTCAAGGCGGGGTGGGGTCGGATGGAGAAGGGGCGTGAAGGCGGAAACGCGAGCACAAGGAATTGATGAGAGGTGCTCGCTCTCTGGCTGCACCGCGATGCGACACGACGACGGCGGAAAGCAGAGGGAGGGAGAGACGGGCACAGCAGTGGGCTCGGCTTGTCCATGCCTTTGTGGGACGTGGCCGACCATACTTAAGGCGGTGTCTGCGCACCCGCTACACTACACTGCGGCCAGACCACGTGCGCACGTGCGGAGACAGGTGGGGACGCGGCATGCGTGGCCGCAGTGCCATTAAGGAGGGACGATGGCGCGGGGCAGCCCACGTGCGAACTAGGACAAGGCAAGCCGCAGCAGTACAACATCGGTAGCGGCAGCGTTGCGACGCATGGCAGGCAACAGTGCAGACATAACGGCGAGTGAATGGCATCGGCAGTGACTCCGACAGGGCGCGTGCGGGGCAGTTGGTAGCAGCTGCAGCGGTTCCGCACGGTAGGGCCAGCGACATCCGAGACCTGGCCAAGCCAGAGGCGGCCACGGCCATCCTCGGGCAAGCCAGGTGGCGCGACTGCAGCGGCAAAGCGGCGTAAAGACGGGTGACCGCGTGGGGCGACGATGAAGGGAGGTAAGTGGCGGCGCGGTGGCACCGAGACAACAAGGGCGAGACGGCGGTGGTGGCCGGCAGGGGCGGGCAATCGTTGTCGACCACGCAGCGGCGCAAAGCACGCAGCAGCGCGCTGCTCGAGCCCGATGCGACCCAAGACACCGCGCGATGGTGGACGCGCTCACTCAGCCAGGCAACCGAAGCAAGTGTTGTGCATGAATTTTAAAGCATCGACCACAACTAAACCGTTGATCCAATACCCAAACCACTTTTGCTATACCAAAGAGGGTATATTAGACTAAAAACCATAATACTACCCTACTGCTTAACCTAATCTCACCCAATAATTTGCTAAACATGGCAGTGTCTAACTATCGGTCAGACTTGAAATTTTCTAAGTGTAAGAGCTGAATTTGATTTCAATTACGATTTCTAAGCTAGTGAAAATATTAGCTGGCAATATCATTTTTGACCGCAAGTATTTCATTGCCATCTACAAAGTTTGCACTTCGAACCCTATTTAAGTATCACATACATGTTCTATAGCATTTTTGTTTAATAAAAATTGGTTTTAAACCTTAAGTGATATAACATGACTATTGAATTAACTTTCATTTCGCATTTTCGTTGATCATTTCGAGTTACGAAAATTGACCTACACTCTTTATTACATGGATTAACACATACACATGATGCTCATGACATGTTTTAGTAAATGATTTACAGTATAACACCGAGGGTGTTACAACGGGCTGGTCGAGCAGGACGGCAACGCAGCATGCGGGAGGTCAGTGCAGCACCGGGCGAGCACGACGACCGGCGCGCGGCGCCTAGCAAAAAAAATGATGTAACAATTGGAAGTTTTGGTTTAAATCGGTGTGAAAGCCTTGGATTGGAATTGTATGCTGGAGATGAGAAAATGCCACGTTGTGACTTACGAGAGGAAAGGAAAGTCACTCAATCTGTCTCCGGTCCCGCGCCATGGACAACGACCTTGTCCCCTCGGCGATTGCCATACCCCACGGGATGGTTATCACCTTCCAACATACACTCCTCCATAGGTAGGATCACGAGTACGACGAGGCCACTTGATGACTCCGATTTGGGTCACACGCTAGTAGATGCTAGATTGCTCGAAGCCGCACACGACCTAGATGTGCAATGAAGGGAGGTCTTGGCGGCTAGACTGGCCAATAGGTCGAGAGGCTGATTAGACGCTTCTTCTTCACCAGAAGAAACCACGAACGTCTCTCGAGGAAGGCTCCTCGTGGAAACGCACAGTGGTGGTGTACTTGGATCGGCAAGGCTACCTATTGTTTTCATGATCGGGCCATTCACTCATTTTTCATTAAGAGGATTAAAGTCTCAGATACACCCAAGCGCGATCAAGATGGCAAGGAGCCTTCGTGAGCAAACTCAGCACACCTCACTACCAGAAACTGGAGATTTTGTGAGGGGATTGGATTTCCGTGAGAGTTGAAAAGACACACTCATGAAATTAAACATTTTCATGAGGGTGATGTAAATCCCGCCACGAAAAATTATTTTCGTGAGAGTAATTCGCACACCGCCTGGAAATTATAATTTTCGTGATGGTAAACTCTCACAAAAATTGCTGTGCACGCATAGGTCCTCTTTTTGGTGGGAAAAAAATCACTTCGCGCCACAGCCCGCGCTTCGTTTGGCATTCACGCCTAAGAGCAAAACAGCCCACGCTCGGCCGCGCTTTTTTTTGGCCCAACATACAGCCCGACACTCCCACCCCGCAACCCTATCCTCCTCCAGTCGCGCCTCAGCTTCAGTCGCGCCATCATCCTCGCTCTCAGCCCCGGTCGTGCCGAAGAAAAAAAAAAACCGACGCCGTCCGCATGGCCATGGCGCCTCCGCCACCGCCAGTCTAGCTGGCTGCCCAACCGTCCTCTCCAGCCACTGCTGTTGCCTGGCCCAAGCCAGGCCGCCCTCTCGGCCGCCGTGCCCGGCGGGAGCCCCGCTATTCTCTCAGGCCGCCGCCGCCCTAAGTCTGATTCAGGACCGAGCTCCGCCACCTCTCAGGCCGCCGGCGCCCTAGATCTAGCCCGCCGTCCCTCAGGCCGCCTCCACCCTTGGTCTCCGTCGAAGCTTTGAGGAGGAGAAGGCAGCAGCGACGCGATCTAGGCTTGGAGGAGAACGCAGCCGTGACGCCGAGCCAAGCTTGGAGGAGACACGGTCCTGCCTTGCGCCGATCTGCGCTTCCTGCTTCCAATCAGACTGAGGTAATAATGCTTCAACTTTCCCCCCAATTTTTATGTGCCGTGGTCTACCATATGAGGATGCCTGATGCATATCACACCGTGTTTTGCTTAGTGTTGCACTGAAGTTAATCAGGAGTACATAATCTATGTTGTGTCTAGGGTCAATTTTGCAAGATCTGGTAGACTGGTACTGAATGCAACATTTGCCTCACATCTGAACTTAACTGACGCTATGATGTGTTCATTATCAATTTTGCATTGACCCATATATACTGAGAAACAAGTTTCGTGTTCTATGTATATTAGAATATCATTCCCAGATGTTCGATTGCATGGTGAATCTGTAGAAGAATAATGTTGTTTATGGTTGACTGCTCGCTGCCGTATATATGCAAACATCATGATTTGATTGTATCAGATTGTTTGGTAAATCTGTTGAAAATAGTGTTGTTCTTTGTTTGATAGCCGTGTAAATTTCTTCTGTATCTAAAATTAGATTTTTTAATTAAAATAGAACAAAAAGAATGGTGGAACGTGAGTGGATGTACACTGGTTGGTCCCGTACACAGCCCCCCTCTAATGATTGGATAGAAAACACCAACCAGTTTTTGGATTGTGCATTCTCTATGCCTAATCTAGTTGAAGATGGCACCATTAAGTGTCCTTGCATGATATGTCGCAATTGTCTTAGGCATAATAGGTTAACAATAGAGATGCACTTGTGTAGAGTTGGCTTTAAGGAAGACTACAAAATATGGATAGCACATGGTGAGGGACTTGACAGTACCTACGTTGAAGGTGGACATGATGACAGTTTTCCTGAAACTGACCGCATGGACGAAATGTTGGCTAGCCTAGTTGGTGAACATCCACCACCAATTGATGAGCAGCCACCTGCCTATGCTCGAGCTTTTTATAGGATGGTACAAAACGTTGATCAATTAGTACATGAGAATACATCACACTCATCCCTAGCTACTGGATTAGCGGTTTGATTTTTACATATCAGCTGAGTTTTGCGACCAGATCGGGCAGACCGCGGAGAGTGTCCTGAAGCCGGCTTGAACCCAGTCCTCAGCCTCAGACACCACAGCCCGGAACAGCACGTGCGTTCCCGCCGCCACTCCCGCGAATGTCCGGTTATTCCTCTCCTTCCAGATGTTCCAGGAGATCAGCAGCGTCAACGAGTCAAATCCCGGTCGCGCAGCTATGTCCAGCCTTTGTCGCTGCCGAAGCCACCATGACCCAACATCATCAGCGCCCTCGGGAACGAGCGTCGACAGACCGACCGGAGCCAGAAGGGAGAACCAAGGCTCCCTAGCGATCACACACCCCAGGAAAAGGTGTTCACTGGTTTTAGGTGCTTGGCCACAAAGAAGACATGCATCGTCATCCTGAAGCCCATGTCTCTTGCGCCATTCCACGGTCCACAGTCGACGATGGAGCGCGAGCCATAAGAAAAACTTGACGCGGGGTGGTGCCTTGGTCTTCCACAGCTCTGTAGCACCCAGCAGCGACGTGCAGCTGGCAAAGAAAGCTCGGTAGGTAGACGAGGCCGAGTACTTCCCGTCTGCTGACCATTTCCAAACGAAGCAGTCTGCCTGCAACGGGTCAAGCACCACGCCGCGCAACATGCCCCAGACCTGGAGGTATTGGCAAAGGACCTGTGTTGTGAGCGCGGCCATCAATTCTGGAAGAGTTCATCCTTGGCACGGCTACCTAAAATGTTATCAAATCTCGTCGGATGAGAAGTGCTTGAGATAATAGAAAATAAAAGTGATGATGTGTTTTTTTATGATTAGCTATTGGAGGCCTCAATCGGCTGTCGCTCTTAGGCCCTGTTTAGATCCCTCTAGTTTTTAATAGTTTTTAAAAATTTGGCTTTTGGAAACTGGGTGAGATTCAAACAGGGCAATTTTTGCTGTCAATTTTTGCCAGATTCTTAAAAACCAGGAAGCTGTTGATACCCAGCTTTTGTCAGTTTCTTGTAACGACCCGTAGAATAAATTTTTGAGAAGTTGGGGGGGAGAGCGTCCCCACCTTTTCATTTCATAAAAGGAACATACACGAGCACGTAGTTACATGTCATTTATGGGATATTAGCAAGGGGTGGGGAGGAGAACAACAAAGCCCAAGCATGAGCAACATGTCTATCTGATGGGGCAACCTACATGCCCAAAGCTTGGCATCTTCGCGACACCCCGTGAAGAGGCGAGTGTAGCAAGGAGGCAGGAAACGGAACACAAACATCGTGCTCTGTGCTTCTAGGGACGCCAACAACAAAGTAGAAGAAAGGCATTGGAGTGGGTAGCAGGGATGGTGGACGGCGGTCGAACGCACCAAAGAGCAACATCTTCTTCAATTTGAACACCGATCTAGTGCCAGAAACCAACTGCAAAGGCACATCCGGCAATAAGATGAGCTGTGCTTTCAACCTGAGCGCCGCACAACTCACATAGGTTGAGTCAATGCAGTGCTTCTTGAGTAAATTCTCCCGCGTTTGGATTCGATCTTGGACGAGTAGCCAGCCAAAGAACTTAACTTTGGGAGGGGCACGGTTCTCCCAAATGAACTTATAATAGTCGCAGCTGCCACCTACTGCGATGATAGACTTGTATATCATGGACGAATTGAGGCGATGAGCTTTATCCTCCCATGGGCAGCGGCGAACATCCTGAGCATTGGTGAGATTAACTTCTACAAGCACGGCGGACAGTTGGGTGAACTCCTCAGTGGCAACAGCAGAAAGTCGGGACACAAAAGCTGATCTTGGATCAGAGACAAGCACATGATCAACTAAGGCTTCAAGACGGTGGGCGTGGGTGTAGAGGGCGGGCGTGCCATCTACGAGCGGTCCAAGCGCCAGCCAGCAATCGTGCCAGAATGCTGTGGAACCCCCATTACCCACCTCTATCGTGGTGAGCAGCCGATAGTCAGGTAGAAGCTGACGTAGAGAAGCCCAATGTGTTCCACACTAGTGGACTCCGGCGCTTCGAGAGGACCTCCAAATTCAGTTTCAAGCCAGCGAGACCATGCCGAGTCCGTCACAGTGTGCGCTCTGTGGAGCAGTTTCATGATCAAGCAGGTATTCTGGAGAGAAAGATCTCGAACACCCAAGCCTCCATTCTCTTTTGGCAAGCAAGCTTTAATCCAGCTGACCAAGCACTGAGCACCAGAAACAGATTCTTCACCGGCCCACAGGAAGCCTCGTCGACGAGCATCAAGATTCAAGAGCATCCATAACACCTTGAGGAAGTTGCAATGCTCCCATTGCATACACCGGACGACTGTCCAGAACATAATTGACTAGGACAAGGCGGCCACCGTGGTTGAGAAGGCTAGACCACCATCCAGATAAGTACCTGTTAGCACTCGCAATAATTGGCGCAAAGGTAGAGAGATTCAGCTTCTCATTGGAGAGTGGGAGACCAAGGTACGTCTGGGGGAAATCACCTTGTGCACAGCCAAGGATGCCCACAAATTGGGTAGCAACATCTTGAGGGACATGCATCGGCACTAACATGCTTTTATTGTAGTTGATGGTGAGACCTGTAGCTTTGGATAAACTTGTTAGGAGTTCTTTGAGACGCTCCACAGCTTGTACATCTGCCCGAGACACAATGAGCGTGTCATCAGCATATTGGAGAATTGTGCATGGCCGATTAGATGCAAGTGGGTGGCGCAAAAGTGTGTTAGTGGAGAGTAGCTACTGTAGCAGGTCGGCCATAAGGATGAACAGGTATGGGGATAAGGGATCGCCTTGCCACAGCCCCTTGTGACAGGAGATCCAACGCCCAGGCACACCATTGAGTCGAATTGCTGATTTGGACGTTTCCTGAAGATTCTTGATCAAGTCACACCATTGTGTGGGGAATCCTCTCGCTCTTAGAATGGTGAGCAAGCTCTCCCAGCACACACTGTCAAAGGTCTTAGCAAAGTCCAGCTTCAGTACAATGGTCGGTGCCTTGCGTTTATGGCAGCATTGGACAAGCTCTCTAGCATACACAGTTTTCTGAGATAGAGCTTCCGTTGATAAATCCTGTTTGATCAACATCCACTAGTTTTGAGATTTGAAGTTGCAGTTGGGAGGTGAGAATCTAGCCTACATTTTTTATTGGACAACCCTATAGGGATATGGGGCAGGAAGGCACCAGGTGTGACTGCATCTGAGGTCTTGGGTAGCAGCACCACATAAGCACGGTTTATACGTTCTAAGTCAGCAGCACCATCACAGAAGACAGCAAGGAATTCCATCACAGAAGACATCACAAAACTCCAGGCTGAGCGGTAGAACCCTGGGCCAAAGCCATCAGGACCAGGGGCACTGATGGGGTCCATGGCTCTTATTGCAGCATGCGCCTCCGAGACAATGAATGGAGTAATCAGAGGCAATGGATCCACCCGAGAGGATGAAGCTTTGCAGGATTATAAGATTGTAGTTTTTGCGCTTCTAGAGCATTAATCTGGTTCTTGCGTAGCCGCTACGAGGCATGTGCATGGTGGAATCTTGTGTTTTCATCGCCTTCTTTCGCAACTCTGAATTTTCCCCTCTGCTTCCAATATGCAGCCCGAGCCTTGAGAAGCTGGAGATGCTTTTCTCGGCACACAGACCTAAGAATAGCTTCAGCTGGACATAGATGACGATGCTCTTCGAGCAAACGAATGATAAATTTGCGGCTGTTAATAAGGAGGGGTGTATGTTTGTGTTTTGACCATTTCTCAGCGACGCGGCGGGTGTCCTTCGACCTAGCTGCAAGCACGCCGGCCGCACTGCAATAAATGAAGACAAATTCTTAAAAATTGGAGGATCCAAACACCCACACCAGTTGTTGCTCAGAATTCAGATTTTATAAACTAGAGACAAAAACTAATTTTTAAGAATCCAAAATTGATCCAAACAGGGCCTTAATTTATATAGGACGGCTTACGGTTTCCATAATCGACGAACCAGACGGTTTCCGATTAGACTCAAGCCTCTAAGTCCTTCGGTCAAGTCGCACGTGCTTAATTCCAAGCCGTCCAATCAGGGGCCAGTCCAAATTGTATTTTGTTTTACTGCGTATGGCTGACGGACTCTAATCCACGCAAGCACGGCCCTCTCTCCCAATGTATACATGACGCTAATTGATTCTGTATGTTGCCCGTTTGCTTCCTTTTTCGGTTCTACTATATGCTGACTCATACGTGATGTACCTGGAGCCTCGAAAATCTTTCTCTTTTACTAGTAGAAGTTCTAATAAGGTTGCATATTTGTTAGCTCGTCAGGTTTCTAGTTCACATTGCTCGGAGGTGTGACGTGTTACTCCAGCATGTGTGTATGACTTGATCATGGTTGAGGCTTCGGCCGGCTGATTTATGAAAGGCAAGCAATTCAAAAAAAAAACATAATTTTCATCCTTCCTTTAATGCTTCACGTGAGATTTCAAGTAAGCCGACTTCAATACTTTGTTGTTGCACGCCTTCGCCGACTCATTCAACGAAAATACTCTGGTGAGGGCGTCCATCGTCCCGGTCGCTTTTTCCCAGGTCTGCTGCCGTCTACCTTCGTTCCTTCACTGATAAAAAAATACAAAGCGGTAATTCCCCATCTCGCATCATGAATCGTTCCCCACCGCCGCGGGTGCCTCCACCGCACCGTCCGCTACTGTCCTTTGCTCTGCTTCGCTGCTCCTGCTTGGCCACCCGCACCGCCTGACGTCGCGGGCACCGCCACGTCCATGCTGCGGCCACCAACTGGCCACTGAGGTCGTTGCTCACGCCTGACGACACCGCCAACGCAACGAGAAGCATCGGGCCCTGGCGTTGAAGCCCTCCGGCCTCGCCTCCTGCTACAGCTGCGGCGCCCCGATGCAAATGGCGGAGGAGGCTTGTTGGTGTTTGCGGACCACCGACGAGTAAATTTGTATTTGCGCGTCTGGCTCGGATGGTGTGCTCAGAGGACACAAGGGTTTATACTGGTTCGGGCGGAACGTCCCTACGTCCAGTTTGCTACTGC